AAGAAATATAAATATAATTATGGCAGCCTGTACACCCCTAATGCCTGCCATTTTCACTCTTCGCTCTTTTACTCATATACAATAATATTTCTCTTTTCCAGTCCCTAGTACACTTAGTATCTGCTTTAGCAATCACCACTGAATTACTAGTAAAATTTCCTCTTCAAAACCCTCTTCACTGCTCACTTTTCCCTTAACTTCACAAAACCCTTACAGTTAACCCCTTATTACACACTCCCCTTCCCATCTCACTTCACAGTCTGGCTTCCCCAATTAACTTCTAACTCCTTTCCATTCTGGTAGATCAGAAAGGTTTAATCCATGGTTTTATCCTTCCAAATCCCCCTCAATTCCATTTATCGGGGGTTGTGTGGTGTTGTTGACTGCCTGACCTGTTCTGCTGTCTCAGCCATTTTTAAAACACTGAGGGGAGTAACGCCACCTACAACCTGACTTTCCTTAAGTTTATAGATATATTTGGCGTTTTCTGCTATGATTCTCTCACTGTACACTGGTCAGCTGAATATAGGTCAGCTACTAAAACATTAACCTTGACTGTTTAACTATTCACTTTCTCACGGCTGGCACTGAGGGATATCCGACCTATAACCTTGGAGTTTTGTACTGTTGATTTGACGATGTCTCCTGTGTTTCCCTCTCGTTAGCACTGGTACAGGTGATATGATGGTGGTACAGATATGATGCTACTGTCAACAGATGAACGTCAGTAAAGATGAGAATTCACTTCGCTAGTTGTACGTCTGGCAGTAGCGGCTGTTTGGATGCCGGTCAGCCATGTTTAAATGCTCAATTCTTTCCCTCGTTTGGCACTGAAGAAAAAAGTCCTACAGACCTGTCATTTCCTTGGAGATTTAGTTGATCAGGTTTTCTGCCATGTTGTCTTCCCGTTAAACACTGGTGCAGTTGATATGGAGGTCGGTTATTTCATTGTAGTGGAAAACGTCTCATGTCTGGTTCACGTCTGGCAGCAGGTCTGGTACTTGAATGCCGGTCCCTCTTTTGTCATATTTAGTCCATTTCGTTGTCGTCACCGTCAGTTTTTATGTCACTATAGGTTCCTTGCATGTTGTTGCAGCAGTACTTGCAAATTTGGCCATCACTGGAGTTCGGATAGGCTCAGGGGACGGCAAGATATAGGAGCAGCCCTGTTGCTGCTTGCTGCGGCTGCGGCAAACCCCTACTTGTTCGTCTCTTAATTTTCTCACTTTTCTTTCTAAAGACTTTCATTTTAATTAATAGGACACCAGTCGCATATACAGCCACGAGATGTATTCCATGTTCCAAGCAGCAGACGAAGGCAGTGTTTGCTCCTCACGCTGGCTAGTCCAGGGCCGGATTATAATAATAATCTTTATTTCTACAAGTACATGTATAACGTATGCAGACGATAGCTGACATCAGTGAAATACTATATGGAAGCTCCTTCTTATGCAGAGCATTTCTGTCAAATTAGGTTAATTTTGTCCCCAGAATGCGACCCACACCAGTCGGCTAACACCAAGACAACTCCTTACTGCTAGGTGAACAGGGACAGCAGGTATCTTAAGGAAACTCCCAATGTTTCCACCCGTACCGGGGATCGAGCCACGGACCCTAGTGTGTGAACTGAGTGCGCTACCAACCGAGGCATAAACTAAATGAACTACAGCTTAGGAGCTTCACATTCTGTAAGTAAGTTTATTTAGATTTAGGTACGCGTAAGTACAATTATCATACATAGTTTAATATGTGTGTAAATGACCTAGGATAACCCCCAAAAAGTCAAAGTGACTTATTTCCATTGGGGTCCTTTCAAAATCTCAGAAGTTTGTTTTTATTTGCTTAGGCCGAATTATGCCTCTGAACCCATACCTGATACTTCTTGCATTAATTATCAACAGTTACACTTTTTTTTTTCATAAAATTTAATATACTATTTAACAAGTTGTTACAACAGTCGTTGCAAAATAAAGTTTAATAAGTTATTTAAAAATGTGAAATAAATTTATTTTAGAAGTTTTATCCTATATCATATCTCTTCTTTAAGCTGTGTATGGATGCTGCCTCTACCACTTCGCCCTTCAGGTTGTTCTACTTCCTGATTACTCTAAGGCTGAATATATACTTTCTAACGCCCCTGTGACTCATCCGAGTTTTCAACTTCTACCTGCGCCTTTCGGTATTTTGTACGTTGTTATATAACCCTAAGTTCTGTCCTCCAGTGTCATCAGGCTGAATTCCCTGACCTCTCCTCACAGTACATACCCCTTAGCTCAGGGACTAGTCTCGTTGGAAACCTCTACACGTTCTCCAGTTTCTTGATATACTTGGCCAGGTATGGGTTTCATACTCGTGTTCCATATTCCAATATGGGCCTGACGTACACGGTGTACAATACCATGAATGACTCCTTAGATGTCTAAAAGCTACATTGACTGTGTGTGTGTGTGTGTGCGCGCACGTGTTATTATGTGGTTAAGTCTTGGTTTCTGTACCGGCATCTCAGTTACTCATAAACAGTTATATTAAATTCCTGGTCTCATGGGCCATAGAGTATTATTTAAACTCTGTATGGAATTTCTCGTTTCACATTCCAACCTCTCTCATACTGAAGAGGTATTTCCTAGTGTCTCTTAACTCATTTACAGCTTTCGCTCTCATATATGCCATCTTCCCCAGTCTTTAAATTTTAAAGATTTATTATTCCCATTTGAGTCCCAAGTATCTTGTACATCATGATCATGGCCTGGTTTTCCTATCTCGTGTTGTAAAATTGAATTTCTTATATTTCTTCAGAGGACATTCCTCTTGGCTACAGGAAAATTCTTGTAGTGGTTTTCTAGACTCTGGTTTCCGTAAATGTCTGATCAGGATTGGACTCCACGCCGGTCTTCATACTCCGACATATTTCGCATACAGGGTCCTAAATGACTTTGTCAAGGTTTTTAAATTCCGTTCATAAATTAGCCACAAGAGTAAACATCCACTGCTGTCCGCCTTGATGTTCACCTCCTGTAATACGTATGGTGTTATATGATTGCTCTTAAATCTTATTTTTCTATCCGAGCGTGTGTAGTAAACAGTGACCCTCTCATAACGCCTCACCCCTGCCCGACTCCCCTGCCTAACCCACCCAACTCCCAGCGCCACCCCATCTGTAGAGGGTACTTCTCCCCTAACCCACGATGTCAGCGATGGTACTGCAGCCGCAGGGAGTGCCGGGCTCACAGGAACTTCCACTACAGGGACAGCATCATGGAGTTCGACCGCGAGGCAGCTGCCAGGTGTGCCACAGGCAGTGTGTACTCAGTTCCTCAAGCTTCAACATCCGTACACACGAGGGCCTGGGATCTTCAATCAACTTGGCGTCCACCAGGACGCTGACATGTCCCTAGGGCAGCTCTCCATCGGGCTGCTAACGGAGTCACTGGCTTCTTGGACCTCTTGGGGAGGGTCGATGGTGCTCGTGCAAGCAGCAGATCCCTGGGCAACTTGCTGCTGTTTGCAATGGCTGTCTACCGAGGAGAGACAGGCACCTAGCAACATCTGTTGTTGGGGCAATGGATGAATTCCCTACTATGTTTGTTAACTGCTCATCACTCTGTAATTTGTCTATGATTGTAATCATGTCATAACGTGTTTATCATTCATTACCTTTGAAACTTGTCATGATTGTGACCAGCTCTACCTGGAGCTCATTACCTTTGTAAATTCTCATGATTAATGTGTTTATGATTCATTACCTTTGCAATTATTCATGAGTGTGACCAGCTCAACCTGGAGCTCATTACCTTTGTAACTTGGTCATGATTATGACCAGATCTAGTTCATTACCTTTGTAACTTGCTCAGCTATCAAAACTTTGGAGTCCAGTCCCTGGACCAATTATGTACCTCTGTAATCTTTTGACTACCGCCCACAGGATGGGTATGGGGTGCATAATAAACATATTAAACTAAACTAAAACTCTATCCGAGGTTTGTGTCCTCCGTCCTAATTTTTTGTAAATTCTCGATCTTTCTTTTTCCCTGATTGTCGTAACCTTGCACTTACTGGGAATGAATATTTATAGAAACTTGTCTGGCCAGTCCTACAGTCTATCTGTCTTTTTGTAGCCTTCCCCAGTCTCTGAGATTTAGTATCAATTTTAGCTTTATATTGTTCATAAACAGGGTTGCATACAACTGTCAGGGATGGCTTTTACATACATCTGTAATGGTGTCTCGTTCTTCAGTTTCAAGTATTTATATTGTTGTAAGTACTTAATACTCCACTGGCAAAAGAAATGTTTGAATTAAGACTCGGAAAATAATTGAACTTGTGCCAGTTCTGCATAATGAAATAGCTCCTTGCGAGAACGAGAGGCATGGTAGACAGTGAAGTCTCAGTGAAAACCAGAGGTGTACCAAGTACATTAAGAGGAATAAGTTTCAGTACCGTGCATGGAACAATTCACAACTAATCAAACAAATTATACGACGTTTCGGTCCGTCCTGGATCATTATCAAGTTGCGATAGGGTAACTGTTGGCGTAGGTACAGAAGCCTTTTACAAATCCTTCTTTCAAATATAAGGGAAATTACCAACAGACCCATTAATATCTGAAAAAGGAAAATTTGATAAATTTGTGTGTTCGCTCAGCCGGACAGTTTGGCTGATCTTGCTATCAGTCAGAGAGACATGGTCAGAGACCGGAGAGTGGGGGTAATAATTCATGACAGTAGTACTTCCAGGTAAATGTATACAAGTGTTCAGCAGAATAAAAAGTTTGAACACGAGTAAACTATTCATACGTTTACTGAGGAATGGCTTGATCCAGCAGTGGAGTGACAAATTGGAAAAATTATATGTGATGCCGAGAAAGTCTGCATCAAAGCGTATTTGCATGTGATGCGTACATATATTAAGGTATACTGGTTAGTAAGTTTATCTTCGGGTAGATGGCGTGGAAGGGGCAGGGCGCTAGCATCATACCCAACTAGTCACTCAGTTGTGTTTGGGCAGTGAGCAGGTAGGGACGCAACGCTTCTCTTTTTCACACACCTTGAGTGACTCTTTCCAGTATTTTTGACGTTATGAAGAGAATTTGAGACCTTAGACAATGTTTTACCTCCTCCTTGGGACTCTCTTCCTGTGGGTCTCCTGTGCGGCTCAACATAGACCAGGTAGGTAATAATATACTGTATACGTGAACTGTATTTACATAGAATAAAAATCTAGTCTGTTTACAAAATGTAATTAATGCCAATCTGTTTTGGCATTGGTAAGTTAATATAATAACAGAAGAGTAGTTACTCGTGCTAGGGATCGTCGCCCCCTCCGCTCGATATTAATGAGGCTTCTTAAATTTGAAAGGAAATATTAAAGGTATAAGAATTACAAAGAAACAAGAAAAGTAAAGATAAGTGTATGCCGAATGAAGGTATGTTTTTTTAAGATTTCTGTCGTCTTTAAAGTGTTCGTAAGAGAAAGAAAAGACCAGCAATCCCGCAAGAGTGCAAAACGTTTAACAAGTTTTTCATGGTTAACCTCCAAGAAGATATAAACCAAGTTTTCCAGGTCAACGGAAAACAGTATGATGCTCAATGAAGACAAATTTTGCGTTATGGAATACTAGAGGAGATAATAAATAGAACTGAGTATACAACAGACTGATCATACAATAGAGCGGAAAAGTAATGAGGGACCTGGGAGTAGTATGTCTAAGGATCTCACTTTCAAGGATCACAACAGTGCCACGATCACAACTGCAAAGAAAATGATAGGACGGATAATGAGAACGTTGAAAACAAAGAAATACCAAGCCAATGATGATTCTTTTCAAATCACTTCACTAGGCTGAAATATTGCTGTACATTAACATATCCGTTCAAAGCAGGTGAAATTACAGATATAGTGTACAGAGAACCTTTACTGCACATATAAGTTCTATCAAACACCTTAACTACTGGGAACGCTTGGAAGCACTCGAATTGTACTCGCTGGAACGCAAGCGAGAGATATTATAATCTATACTTGGAAAATCCTAGAAGAAATGGTCCCGAATCTGCACACACAAATCACTCCCTACGAAAGTAAAAGACTGTGCAGGCGGTGCAAAATACCCCCAATGAAAAGTAGGGGCGCCATTGGTACACCAAGAGAAAACACCGTAAGTGTCCGGTGCCCAACACTGTTCAACAACCTCCCACCAAGCATAAGGGGAATTACCAATAGGCCCCTGGCTGCCTTCAAGAGGGAGCTGAACAGATACTTAAGTCGGGGCCGGATCAACCGGGCTGTGGTTCGTATGTTGGACTACTTGTGGCCAGCAATAACAGCCTGGTTGATCAGGCCCTGATCCACCGGGAGGCCTGGTCGTGGACTGGGCCGGGGGGGGCGCACCACCTGCCTCCAGGTAGGCAGGTAGTACGTAAATAACTCCCAAGGTGGCTGCACTATACAATTTATTATTTTTAGCGAAGCAAACAGCAGTAGGCCTGTTAAATCGTTGTTTTTCACCTGTGTGTATTTATAATAACTATGTACTAAATGGAAGCTTTAGAAATTTACAAAGCGATCCCAAAATCTTGTATTTAACCTATATATCACTCTAGCATGGACTTTAGAAAGTAGTCATATTCCTGAATTTTGGACCGTCGAAGGCTGGAGAGCATCTCAAGAAGGTGAGGTTTGGGAGGGACAGGCACCTCGTGAGTAGGTAGAAGGCAACATGTGTATCAGTCTCTCTCGTCCTGCCTTCCATCATCTTGTGGTCCGAGATTTTTTTTTCTAGGGGATCAGATCAGCGAGTGGCATTGAACCCAAGAGGAGCTCCAAGGACTGTTATTGGCAAGATCAGTGACTCGTGCTTCTGGCAGAGCAGCATTAATATCCTCAATGAATGCCAGATTATCTGATACACGGAAGGTAGTGCTAACCAGGGAAGTGGAAAATATTGAGCTGAAGTTAAAGGACTCATACAGGATCCAGGAGAATCAAGAGGAGCTAAAAGCGATTAATGAAATTGAAAGAAATTCGAAATATTTCTTCTCATACGCCAAAAACAAGTCAAAAACCACTTCTAGTATAGGGCCCCTGCTCAGACAAGATGGATCGTACACTGACGACAACAAAGAAATGAGCGAGATACTGAAATTGCAGCATGACTCAGTGTTCATCGAGCCACTAACCAGTTTAAAGATAGACGATCCAAACAATTTTTTCATGAATGAGCCTCGAAACCCTGCCAATGTAGGCCAGATTTATGGCATAACTTTAACTCCACTAGACTTTGAGAAAGCCATCGACGACATGCCCATGCACTCAGCCCCAGGCCCAGACTCGTGGAACTCGGTGTTTATTAAAAACTGCAAGAAACCCCTCTCACGGGCCCTAAGTATGCTATGGAGAAGGAGCTTAGACACAGGCGAGATTCCACAGTCACTAAAAACAACAGATATAGCCCCACTCCATAAAGCTGGTGTGATGTAGTTCAGCTGGGCTTGTGAGGTCTCTTGGGAGACCTAATTTAACCAATTATATGGTCACACCTTGCCTTGGCAAACGTCTGTAGCCACGCCCACGTCTGAGGTCTTTTGTTCTTTACGGCGTCAGACCTAGGCGTCAGGTCGTACACGTGGTTGTGGAGGGTGCTTGGACCACCATAAAAGCCCAAGGAAGAGTTGAGTAGAGAGATTCGAGCGGAGCTGCTGCTGGGGTGCAGAGCTCCTGAGCAGAGATTCGTGCGGAGCTGCTGCTGGGGTGCAGAGCTCCTGAGCAGAGACTTCGAGCGGAGCTGCTGCTGGGGTGTAGGGCTCGGGAGAAGGCTGCTGAAGTCTCTGGAGGAGACTGTTGGAGGCATTGGGCAGAGTACTGGCTTGGCGCAGTACTCGTGCTGTGTAGGTCTTGGGACCTGTGGCTTAGTTCCTGTAGTGAACTGTCCTCTGTACTATTTGTAAGTTACATTCATTTTGGTCAAGTTGATTGTTTTCCCTGTCTCACTGCTTATGTGTACCACCCCATTTATCTAAACCACAATAATGTTCTCCTGTTCCCAAATATATTATTGTACAAAGACTTAATAATAAACTGTGTTTGAGTAGAATAGTAATATTCACTGCCCACCGTTATTTATTCTTTTTTCTTATATTTTATTATGTTTATATGAGTGAAGAATGGGCGAGGCACATGTTAGTGAGTAGTGTAGAGTTAATGAGAGTGTCGTGGTGGTCACCACTGACCTGTCATTACCTACCTACCTCCGCTAATCATCTCACTCCTACCACCTCGCCTGCCTCTCCCCTGCCTACATAATCCCTTACTCCCATATTCCCCACTTATATCCTATTCAATCATTACCCCCCCTACATGACACTGGCAGCAAAGCAGTAGCTAAGAACTATAGACCAATAGCTTTAACGTCCCACATCATAAAAATCTTCGAAAGAGTTCTAAGAAGCAGGATAGCAAACCACCTAAACTCCCAAAAATTGCACAACCCAGGGCAACATGGTTTCAGAGCAGGTCGCTCATGCCTTTCGCAACTGCTTGACCACTATGATATATGGTCCTAGATGCACTGGAAAACAAACAGAATGCGGATGTAGTATACACAGACTTTGCAAAAGCCTTTGACAAGTGCGACCATGGTGTAATAGCACACAAAATGCGTGCTAAAGGGATAACCGGCAAAGTAGGTAGATGGATCTTCAACTTTCTAACCAATCGCACACAAAGAGTAGTGGTAAACAGAGTTAAATCAGATGTTGCCTTAGTGAAGAGCTCTGTCCCACAAGGCACAGTACTCGCACCTATCCTGTTCCTTATTCTCATATCAGACATAGACAGAGATGTAAACCACAGCACTGTATCATCTTTTGCAGACGATACTAGGATCTGCATGAGAGTGTCATCCATTGAGGACACGGCAAAGCTCCAAGAAGATATAAACCAAGTTTTCCCAATGGGCAACAGAGAACAATATGATGTTCAATGAAGACAAATTCCAACTACTCCATTATGGAAAACTGGAGGAAATAATAACTAGAACTGAGTATACTACAAACTCCAATCACACAATAGAGAGGAAAAGTAATGTGAAGGACCTGGGTGTGGTAATGTCCGAAAACCTCACCTTCAAGGACCACAACAATGCCACTATCACATCTGCTAGGAAACTGGTAGGATGGATAATGAGAACATTCAAGACAAGAGATGCTAAGCCAATGATGATCCTTTTTAAATCACTTATTCTTTCTAGGCTGGAATACTGCTGTACATTAACATCCCCATTCAAGGCAGGTGAAATTGCAGAGCTAGAGAATGTACAGAGAACCTTTACTGCACGTATAAGTTCCATCAAACACCTTAACTACTGGGAGCGCTTGGAAGCACTTGACTTGTACTCACTAGAGCGCAGGCGAGAGAGAGATATCGTAATCTACACCTGGAAGATTCTGGAGGGACTGGTCCCTAATATGCACACAGCAATCACTCCATACGAAAGCAAAAGACTTGGCAGGCGATGCAACATACCCCCAGTGAAAAGTAGGGGCGTCACTGGTACACAAGAGAAAACACTAAGTGTCCGGGGCGCAAGACTGTTCAACAGCCTCCCACCAGCAATAAGGGGCATTACGGGAAGACCCCTGGTTGTCTTCAAGAGGGAGCTGGACAGATACCTAAAGACGGTGCCGGATCAGCCGGGCTGTGGTTCGTACGTTGGATTACGTGCGGCCAGCAGTAACAGCCTCGTTGATCAGGCCCTGATCCACCGGGAGGCCTGGTCGTGGACCGGGCCGCGGGGACGTTGATCCCCGGAATGTCCTCCAGGTTGGTAGAAACTGCTTCGCATTCGGTAGGGTTTAAAGATAGGCGCAGACTCTCCAATATCTTGTATTTCCTGATGTCCTCATGGAGGGATTACGTAGTGCCAGCCAGGGTACCATTATCCAAAAAACAGATGTTGAGCTCACTGGACAGTGTTTCTTGTGACTTCCTTGATGACCGGACAGAAAAGAAGAGGGGCGAGGGGGTTCACCTTTTGCACACCTTCACACGAGTCAATTTCATGTTCACTCTTCGGTTTAGAAGTAACACGATTGGATGAATGAATAGAGGGAATGAAAACATAGAAACTGCATTGGCAAAATCCCATTTAATCAGGTCTTTTTGATCTGATATC